TACTTTGAACAAATCAACAGATTATTACAGATTATTAACAGATTATGAAAGAGCAAGTTTAATAGTATTTCTTTCAATTATTAATAAACTGATTTATTTTTAGAAAATGTAACATAGATATAATAAGAAGTATCTTGTGAATTCGTTTGTAACATATCATGAATTGATCAGCAGACTATTCTGGAATCAAATCCCAATATGGAAATATCCCTGACTGTAATATTCTTTCCATGCGCATTTATATAAAAAATACTTTCCTTCAAACAATTAAAAATTAAAAAAAAATACAAATAATATAAATAATAATATTAATATACAAAATGTCAACTACTGGCAACAACAACACTAATAATAATAATAATAATAATGATGATGATGATGATAATAATGATAACAACAATGATAATATTAATAATGGTAATGTAAATAATAATAATAATAATAATAATAATGATTATAATGATGATAATAATAATGATAATGTAAATAATAATTAAGAAATAGTTGACTTCAATTCAATAATAAGACTATTTCAAACAATGGCCAATACAGCAGTAACTGCAGCCAACTACTGCAGCAGGCATTGTTGACACAGTGCAAAATATTGTTAGAGCATCATTGTCATCATCATCATCATCCACTAGATCTAATGCTTCCAACAGGCCCAGCAGGCCCAGACTTGGTCCATACCAAATTTCCAGCCATCAAAAAAGTTCATTCAACAACCCATCAATATTAACAATGATAGCACCACCATCAAGATTTGTAATGCCACCAATCCAACAAACACCAGCAACAATAGCAACAGCATCACCACCACTACCACCATCAAGAATATTAGTATTGCCAACAACACCAACACCAATGGGATTATTATCAACACCAACAACACCAATAATACTAACAACAATAATACTAACAACAACAACATCATCACCATCATCACTACTAAGCATGCAACTTTCACCAACAACAACAACAATACCATCATCAGCACTAGGCATGCACCTTTCACCATCCAACCAACCATGGCCTGCACAAACCCACCAATATTCATGCCTTGCCTGTCAATATTATGGGCATGAAATATCAAGTAAAAATTTCAATAATTATTAATTATAAGAATTAACAATATTAATAGATTTTTGTTAATATTAATATATGTATTAATATTTAGATTGCCCAAATTCAAGGGCTGATCTCTTGGAGGATAGATGTGTGTGGTGTTGGGAGGTGAAGCACCAGCAACCATGTATTGCTGGAAAAACAATCCCCTATGATGCACTACTCCAGGGATATAAACCTCCTCAAACATACTATGATAAGTATGTTGAATTCCTTCACCCCAATATCAAGAATACCTAGAAAAATATCAACATCAACAACAGCATAATAGAAATTTGTTTTTGATTGACATTCACAATCATCATCTTACATTTTGGTATATGATTTTCATGTACTACACAATATTTTCTTTATCTAAAATGTTTTTTATTTCTTTCCTTGTTTAATAAGAATAATAATATATATTAAAATAAATCATTTACACATTTAATAAAGCTGTTCATTATGCAAAAAAATGTTTGTTGTTAATATTAATTTGCATACAACAAATTCATGCTTGTTAATTTTTGAATCAAAAAATTTGAACTCTTTATAACAAAATTGTTTTATTTGTCATTGTTTATTATGTCAATGAATCATTTAGTGTAGTCTTTGTTGATTTGAATTAAAAATTCAAAAGGTTCTGTAGGTTCTTTTTTTTTATATCATGTACAATGGATTGTTTAATGTAATTAAAACTTAAAAGTTTGTGTAGATATATAAATGCTGAAAATTTTGTCTTGTATTTTGTATCAAAAATAAATTAAATTCATTGACTATTGAATAAAAATATCAAATACCTTTAAATTTAAAAAAACTCGATTCATAAGAATTCTTCCTTTTATTCATTAAATAAACCATGCCAAAACCAAAAAATCTTGGCCCATGTGTATTATCTAGTTGTGAGAATGGTGCACCATTTTGTAAAATGACTGAATATACTATTGAGAAAATAAGAAGAAAAGACTTAGAAAATAAATACAACTTTATTAAAAAAGATGACCAACTATGTTACAAACATTATCTAGATATAGTTGAACCTGATAGAAATGATAAAAGCAGAAAAAAATCCACTGAATCATTGAATATTGATTATTCAAGAAATTTACATACAGAAACTAAAGCCTCTTCTAGTCAAGTAATTAACAATGATGAAATAGATTGGTCTAAAATTAGAGTTAATTTTACTGAAAAAAATGTCACAATGTCAAGGGAGGATTTTTCATTATT